AGCAATTTACAAACAGAAAAAATATGAATTCATAGGACAATGTATCTGCAGCAAATAAATTTGACTGGTTGTAGGGGTACACACTAAATATTGTAGGCACTTTCTCCATTGCTTTTTTTGCCACCTTTTTGTTGCTGGATTGGGAAAATGCAGCAAAGTGCTATGTGTTTACTAATTCTAAGGCTATCCTACACGAAATCTTTGGGCCAAATTCTGCCCTGGGTTACATTTAGTTCAATCTTATTGCCTCAGTGGATTTGCACAGATTGTGAGTCAACACAGAATATGGCACTATTTTTTGTCTTTTGGAGCAGATTGCTTCAGGGAAAATAAGCTTTCTTTCTACACATATTTTATCACTCCTAAAAGTTCACTTTCTAAAGGTCCATGCAGAACAGGAACCTGATCTGGAATGTCATTTTTCTTTGAGTCATGTCTCTGTGTTCGAGAAAAGTTCTTCTTTTCGAGGCGAGTCACTGAACCTAAACTGGGGAAGTATGATTTTTGGTTATACATCAGGAAAAGTCTTGTCTAAGACCTTGCTTGCTCAACCTTGAAAATTGATTCCCTTGTTGTAGTGAGTAAATTATAGTCAATGTACAATATTCTCTTCGTTAATCAACTTTAAAGTTGTTTTTTGGCAGATTCCTCCTATCTATTTGTGATGTTCACTTTGGATGGTAAAGGGAATTGGCCAAGCAAGAACAACTTGGTCTTTGGCACATTGTTCAAAAAGAGTGAGAAACTATCACCAGACCAAATAAAACAGCTAGACACAATCTAATGTTTATAATATCCCTTTTAAGAACTGATTTATCTCACCTTTTCTCAGCACGGAAGCCTTGATGTTGAAAGACCAATGTTTAAGTGAGGAGCAGTGAGGAAACTTTGCAACTTTCAGAACACATGTCACAGCATCTGGCTTCTTTGCAGGCTTTTGACAGCTTCAGAACTGCCCGTTAGGGTGCTGAGACAGCTGTGAAAGTAACTGGCTAACTTATCCTTTTGAACATCGTTTTCATGTGATTTAACTTTGAATCTGAGGAAAATTCCACTTTTATCTTTAATTGGTACCCTTAAATTGCTACTTTCATTATTCAACATTTTTGAGCAAAAGTGGATTATTTTCTTACAATCTAAACACTTTATTTTTGTGGGGAGGGGGAAGCAGTTTTGCTAGTGTTTTTAGGGTGTGTGTGTACACATATATGCATGTATCTGGGCAGAATTAGAGAGAGAGAAAAATCTAAATATTCACCTGGACCCAAAAGCTACCTTCATAAATACTCATATACAATTCACATCAAACTGCTGTAGAGTGGTATTAGAGAAAAAAATACCAACTTCCAGAGAGCAGTGTAAGGATTTTGGAGTGTCCCTGCAAAGTGTGGTTTTTGCCCTTGCTCCTTCCCAATCCACTATACACAGTCTCATCTTTTGGATTTCAGGGAAGGTCTTCAACATGATTGTTTACATCCTACAAATCTTTCCAGACCTCCAAACTCTTCCTGTAGAAACCCAAAGCTTTCCACTGAGGTCTGCTCATACTAGTGTGAACAAGGAAGAAAAATCTGAAACATCTCTCCATAGACGAGCTTTCAATCTCTGTCCTGGTGTCCCAAACATATAGAACCAGACATCTTCAGGGGAGTACAATAAAATAAAAGGAGCATAAATAAGTAACATTCACTAGTCTAAATGTTATGCCTTTTCTTACCTATTCCCTTCTCCAATTTCCTTATTCCCTTTTCCTTCCTTCCTCCTTCTGGTGATCTCTATCCATCTTCCTAACATTTTCTTCCTTTTGTCTCAGTTCTGAGTATTTTTTTAATCTCATTTTCTCTTCTTCTTTCTTTGACAAGCCGCATCTCCTTTCTCAATCATATTCTCTTTCATCCTCACCCAATCCAACATCCATGCCATTGCTCTCTCCTGGATTATATTTTCTCTCCTCCCTTGCCGAGCCTTCATATATTCTCTTTGCTTCTGACAGATCTCCCCTCTCTCATTACAGTTCAGGAGATCATTCCTATTTAAGGTAGCAATTAAGAGCACATTTTAAGCCCCCATAAAATCAATTAGATTTAAGCACATATTTGCAATTAAACACCTACTTACGTTTTCTCTTGAATATGGATGGTCTTAAGCATGTGCTTAAGTGCTTTTCTAAATTAAGGTTTTTCTCTCTCTTGTTCCTGTCTGTGTTCCATTGTCTCAGCAAGATTCCCTTCCCTATCAATCAGTGTCTAATATTTAGAACTTATATAGCATTGTACAAACATCAGTTAATGATCAGTCAAAATGCCTCTGTGTGAGGTGGGTAAGAAAGAACGGTTTCCCTCATTTTCAGGTGGCAACAAAGCCTTAGGCATCAGAATGAGTCTGTATGTGAAGGATTAGAACACAGGAGCAATTTGCTTCCAAACTCATGCTTGGCGTGGTGCACAATGAACCATTGAGTTGCTTGCCCCATGACAACCAATTGCTACCTTGGTTTCTCAGCTGGTTGGCAGATGGGAGGGGACTTGTGTCAGCTGTAACACAATCAGTGGCAGCTCAGGAGGCCCTGACTCCCTCACAGCTGCAAACTGGTCTGTCCAAAAATCGGGTTCTCAGGCCACAAACAACAGCCTTTGGGGCTGTAGATAATATGTGAATGATCATAGTAATAAATTATCAAATTACATTTTAAGGCTTTCTAAGAAACAAAAAGGGCTATTTTTTTTTTAGAATGAAATTTGGCATTAACTTTTACACTCATTGCATCCTGTTATCAGGGACAGTGGCAGGCAAGCCATGGCCTTGGGCTTCATGAATCCCCCGCAAGACTGGCTCTGCCAATTTCCAGATGGAAATTACTTCTAAGAATCATGAGACAGCAGTAGACTGATTTTTTCCTAAGCACAGAACTACTTTTCTGGGTAGTAATTCTAGCAATGGTATTCACAACACAGAGCCCAACACTGCTCAGAGGAGTTCACAGTTAATCTTACCATCCACCATCCCCCCCCATAGGAGAGGTAAGGTGGGCTATAAGAATGGGGGGGTTGGCTGCCTGCCATACCAATCATAGGAGTCCCCAACCGTGCTTCCCCCCCCATGTAAAAGGGAGGCTTGAGGTGCAGGGCTGTCCCTTTTAAACCCTGCATTCCCAGGGGATGAGTCACTGACCACACTGACCCTTTTTCAACAGTTTTCACCCCCCTCTCGCCCCAGCCATAAAGCACCGTTTCCTTCATTCGGCCAGCCAATCAAGTACCCCCAAGATGTGGTGCGATCATTTCTCTTAGCTCAGTGTGTAAGAATGAGCAATTTACTTTAGATGAAAAACTATATTCGAGAAAAGTCACAAATGTTTTTCTAATATGTAATGCCATATATTAACAATAGTAATTCAGTGCAGTGGCTTAGTTATCTTCATATTTTTATGAATAGATACAGAAAAGACTTTCAGTTAACACTGAACTTTGGCTTCTACTAGTTTTGATTCTGCAGATGGTAAAACTGACTGCAAATTAGATTCTGAAATATATCTTCATAATATTTTTCAACTGATTAGTTTCATACAGTTAGCAGTAACCCACCCTGTTGCATTCAGCTTGCAATTTTGTAGCAATCTCAAGTACTGTGTTCAAATCCCCAGTGTAATGTGTAAAGATGCTATCAAACTCTTTCAGTGTATATTTTCATTCTGTAGCTGTGCTTTGTACTCATTTAAAAGAATTAGTCTTTAATTTGTAGCGGAAGACTTTCAAAATGAAGTTTAGAAAGACAGGAGTTTGTCACATTCATTGGGGGTATATCTGCATCTTAATGTGCAGGGAGTTACTTGCAGAGCTCCAATTAAATTGCTTAGTATACCCTATTGCACATTATTTTTTTGTAATTGCTTCTTTAATAAACAATAATTGTTCAAAACTACAGTAGTGTACTATAAACCAATTATACTAGTTTGAATCATTAACATACCACTAATCCACTTCTATTTATTTTGATGTAGTTGAAATATGCTTTATATTTGCTTGTTGTCTAGGCATGGCAATCTAATAGGAGCTATGCTTACATAAATGGAGAATATTGTACAACATAAAACTTAGAAATGATAAATAAGGTGAGCATAAAAAGAAATAGTAGTTATATATTTAACTTAATTTTCAGTCTTGTGAAATGGCACTAAAAATCATTAAGAGGGGAGGTATAGCTCAGTGGTTTGAGCATTGGTCTGCTTAAACCCAGGGTTATGAGTTCAATCCTTGAGGGGGCCACTTAGGGATCTGGGGCAAAAATCAGTACTTGGTCCTGCCTATTGAAGGCAGGGGGCTGGACTCAATGACCTTTCAGGGTCCCTTCCAGTTCTATGAGATAGGTATATCTCCATATTTTATATTATTATTTATAAGGGAAAACAATTTTACAAATATTTTACAAAATGAGGAGAAACTCATTTTGGAAGAAAAAGAAGAGTAATTTTCATACTAGATAGCATGTACCTCTATCCCGCTCACTACCTCTATCCCGATCACTACTGGATGGAATTTGAATTGCTAAAATTTCTTAATAATCTGACAGTTAAGGGAGATTCCCCGTGAGCCAAGTGATAGGGGACTGTGATTTTTGGAGCAGAAGGAACTGAGTTCTAGGCCTGTTGTCAACAGAAGTGGTCATGGGGTTTAGTTCAGAGATTATTGAAGTCCTCAGTAGCCACAGATCAGCTACAATTCGAAAACACAGACTTAGAGAGGGAGGAGATGATAATGAAGTTCTCTATGTGTAAACCTTTTCATTGCAAGCTATAAGGAAGATTCCCCTGTATTTGGAGCCAAAGTAAACTTGATTTCTGAATTTCTAAATGACTTGCAACTTTTTAGGCCCATGTCTAATAAGTTGTAGTTGTATGAAATATTGAATCTTAGTGTGAAAACAAATAACTAACAAACGTACAAAGCTCTCTATATTTTCATTCTGATTATTAATCTTTTTATCCCTTTGGTCATTCACAGGTGTTATTTGGAAGATGGCGCTTCAAAAGGTGCCTGGCTGAACCGGTCAAGTATTATTTTTGCAGGAGGTGATAAATGGTCAGTAGATCCTCGAGTTTCAATTGCAACAGCAAATAAAAGGGAATACAGCCTACAGATACAGGATGTAGATGTGACAGATGACGGTCCATACACTTGTTCTGTGCAGACCCAACACACTCCGAGAACAATGCAGGTGCACTTAACTGTACAAGGTACGTGTTTTAACCAATTGCCCAGCATTATTAGGAATGTATTGAAAAAATCTGCATTTAAAGTAAAACAGTCCTTTATTAATTTTAAAAAAAAATATGTTCTCTGCTTAATGCACAGTAACCCTGTGATCAGAATGCATCCTCTAGAATGTCGGGTCTAATTTTATTATATTTATGTTCCATCACCTCTCCCATGGATTTCGGACACCATAATGATTACACTAAATTATAAAATCAAGATTGGATTTTTTTTTTCTATAAGATATATGCTCTAGTTATAACAGGAGTTAATTCAGGGAAGTCTGATCGCCTGTATTATACAGGCGATCAGACTGGATGATCACAGTGGTCCCTTCTGGCTTTATAATCTATGAATTTTTCAGCACAACTCAGGCAAAATCCTGAGCTCTATTGCCTTGTATAGGTAGATAGTGAACTACCTACTTCTATTCAGTTCCCCTTTTAAATTCAAGCCATGATCATGAAAATGTATGTGACCTAGATGATGGGCATCTGAGCATGTTTTAGCCAGCCACTCATATTGCCTCATGACCTCATGACATATTGCATGGACCTCATATATTGCGGGGGGGGGGGGAATTCTGTGACCTTTTCAACCATGTAAAAGAACTGTGGTAAGTTTTTTTTTAATGTTACATTCCTTAATTATTGTGCACAACCTTTTGTACAAGATATACTAGTTTTAATGCTAACTGAACAATCCTGCTTTTCTCTCAGTACCTGTGCATTTAGAAAGTAAGGTGGATCAGGAAGCTATTGTGTTAGATAGAGACTTATGCAGTATAGGCTGGAGTTGTTCAAACACAACTCATTCTTATGGACAGATTATCACCATATTGATGCCAAAATTAGCTTGATTTCATTCCTGCATAAGTGGTACTTATGTCAAGCCATTGTCCTGCAAAAGTGAGCTCTAGTTATTCTTTTGTGGCCTTTAAATGAGGTATTAGTTTCCTCAAAATGTGGTTACTCTTGATTACTTGCAGGGATTCATTTATTTTCAGCTACTATTTTATCTTTTCTGTTATTAGAGAAGGTATGTCTGCAATATTTGCAGTGTCAAGTAGTTCGTTTTTAAAAATATGATAAACATCTTTATATTATATTTTTAAATTAATAATTGCCTCATCAACAAGCCAAACAGGTAATGCTCAGACACAGGGCAGGTCTTCACTACGGGGGGGGGTCGATTTAAGATACGCAAATTCAGCTACGCGAATAGCGTAGCTGAATTCGACGTATCGCAGCCGACTTACCCCGCTGTAAGGACGGTGGCAAAATCGACCTCCGCGGCTTCCCGTCGACGGCGCTTACTCCCACCTCCGCTGGTGGAGTAAGAGCATCGATTCGGGGATCGATTGTCGCGTCCCGACGAGACGCGATAATTCGATCCTCGAGAGGTCGATTTCTACCCGCCGATTCAGGTGGGTAGTGTAGACCTTGCCACAGAAAGTTTGTACTCCAGTAGTTGATGTGGGATTACTGTAGTTTTGCAGAGTTACTTTGTTTTCCAGAGCTCAGAAATGCATATAGTAGGTAAGTTAAAAACCTTAATCATATGATGCTGTTTATAAATGTAATTATTCATTTGAAATTGATTGGCATTTAAGCAGTTTTTCAGGTATATTAATATAAGTTCAAGAGGGACAAACATCAGTAAGTCAAACAGGGTCAATTCAAGCAGTAAGTAAATGTCAGAGAAACAATTGTCCTTAAGTAGAGATGATTATCTGTATGCTAAAACAAGCTGTCTCACACATTTTTATTCTTCAGATTTTAGTAGTTCCTGTCAATGCATGCTTAGATACATATTTTAAAAATATTGTTTGCATGATAAATTTTCAAGCCAAGATAAAGTAAATTATTGAAAGAGTACACAGTTCCCCAGATTAAGGATTGAGGGCATCCAAAAGCCTTTTTTTAAGGATTTGGCTTTCTTTGAATAAGCAGCCCAGTAATCATCTATTTTTAAACACTCCTATAGCCTGATTAAAAAGTTCTAGGAGACAGGTGGTTTAGAAATTAGCAATGAGATGTAGAGCCTTTCATCTGTTGATCAACTGTTCAAATCCAGCCTTGGATTGGCAAAGATCAAAAGTTTTTTACTATTTGATTGTCGTCCAGTGGCCAGCATGAAATAACTCTAGCTTTCTTTCATATGGCAACTGTAAAAGCAACCTTAAAGGTCAATGTCCAAATTTGTCATTCACTCTATGGCCTGCGGTGGAATGAATCAAGACTGTCCCTCCCACAGAAGGATCTTAGAAGGCTGCAGTTCACTAGATGGTCTATGGTTTGAATGTCTTCTCCACATTCGCATCCCAGGCTATCCTTCATTTTCCATTTTTGTAGTAGATAATTGCAACGCCCATCTGAGGTTCTGATACGGTTCACTGTGATCCATATCTTACATGGCATGGTGAAGCCAGGGGGTTGGTCTGTAGGATCCATAATCAGATCTTGATTCTTGATCCTGTTATTTTTACACAACCTCCACCACTTATTTTTTGTTGAGAATCCCAAGGTTTTAAGAGCTTTGGCCAGTAACTAGAAAGGGCTCCTGGACTTAAGGCACCATGTTGGGTTGGAGGGGAGTTTGGAGATCTTCATAGATGGGCAAATCTATGTTTGTATTCCTGCTGCTTCTCTTCAGAGTGATGGTGATAAGATTTGCGTGAATAAGGGAGGAAACCAGACTGTTGGTGTTGACTTCAGCACTCCTGAAACAATTTGATTAACAGTGTTCAATTGCACATCAACAAGTTTTGTTGATGTGTTACCTGCCGATATTGATGAGCAATATTCAGCTGCTGAGAAAATGAGAGCCCATGAGATGAGAATGTCTGCTTCCCAACTGGTCACAGCTAATTTGTGGATTATATTGTTCCTAGTCTTTATCATGGCAGTGGTCTTCATCAGATGTTGGCTGTATGGGATGTTGCAATGCAGAACCATTCCAAGATATTTCAGGAAATCCTTGTGCCTGAGTTTTATGGTGCAGAAGATGGCTTTCAGATGCTGCTTTGCATTTTGGTTGCTCAGGTGGAATGTGGAGACAGCTGTTATACCTTTAGTGATGTCAGTACAGTGCTTTGTGACTAGCTCCCCACTAAACAAACAAAACCCAACCATAACATTGGCATTTTTGATGGGAGTCTTACAAGAAAGGCTAAGGATTAAATGGCCATAGAGTTGGCCTCTTCACTTATTAGCACATGGGATAAATCTGCAATGCCATTATCTGTGGTGTACTGGTTTTATGGATAGAGAACCTCAGTCTCCAGGAATGTCAACTCAGTTCATTTCACAAATTCCATAACAGTTAAAAGCCTTTAATAAGGAAAAAGGTTACCTCTGTGCTAGAAAGCTACGTATCCAGAGTTTGCTTCTGTTCTGGAGTTAGAAACAACAATGGGAGTAGAGGGTGGTAGTTGAGGGGGTAGGGTAAGAAGAAGAATAAGAAAGAAATTGTATACCACAAGTCAAATGCTGCTTTGTTACATTAGTGCAGTACCCATTGACTTGAAAGGGGAATATCAAATGAGAACAGAATTTGGCCCAGTATTACTCCTTTTCAGATTTAATTAAACAGTTATTTCTGACAATAAGAAACTTAACAGTCAGCTATAGCTACACAATCATTTAACCTCATGTGTGTTACTAGTTTGGTTTTCTGCTTCTTTAAGAAACCTGTACATAGATTCCCAGCCCTCCTCTGCACCCATTGCATTGCCCAGGCAGCACAGAGAGAAGAATCTATTATGCTTGTTATCCCCTTCGAGGGATCAAGTCTCAACTCCCCAGTAAGTGTAGAATTGGCATACCAGCCTCCTGTGTCACCTTGCCTCCATCTCCAGTGTAGGGGTATTTTGGGGCAGGGAGGGTGCATGGCAGGAGATCACTTCAGCCATCTCAAGCTTGTTGACAGTCTCTTGGAGACTAATGCCAGCTGACATAGGCTAGAGGAACTCCCAGGCTGTATTAACCTATGCTGGGGTGGAATGAGGCAAAGAATCCTAACTCTAACCAGCTCTATGATATACTACCCCATCTGCCACAGCATAGAATGTAGCCCCAAATGTCTGAGAGCACAGGAATTATGTACGATTAAAAGAAATAAACCTGAGTGAAAATTATTTCTAACATCTGTGTATTGTTCTCTGTGAGGTTGCAAAAGCAAGGGAAGAAAGTATGCATCTCATATGAGATGTATCTGGTAAAATTTCAGACAATGTCAGTACAATATTTAAAAAAACTTGACAAATTTCTTTACTGTGTTGACAGTTGAAAATAGAACAAATAAAAACATCAATGAAACCGTGTGTGTGTATACACAAATAGAAATACCAAAAACTTTGTATCTTTGAAGTGACCGTGTCTATTGTCTCCAGCAGAGGTAATATGTGTATATCTGTCAATTTGCTGTAGGTCTTCTATGTGGCTCCTAGTATTCTGCCTTGTCATCATTTTAAAATACATAATCATGTGCTAAGTTCAGGGAGGGTTTATTGCCTTTGCATTTTAACACTGATGCCAAATATAGTTGGAGGGAAATATTCTCATTTCCTTATGCTAGCAAGGTACATTCCGCAATACAAGAAGGCACAAGTGTTATATGCAATCTCTTCAAATTGTATAGGAATAAGAAGAAGCCATATAGTCTTTATCACAAACTGTGTATGAAAATGAATATTGCTCTTGAAATTCATGGGTAAAAAGATTTTTATTTAAAAATTCTATGGTACAAAATCAAGACTCTTGGTTGGCTGCTTTTTTTGTTTTTTGTTTTAACGTTATTATGGAAATGATTGGACTTACTTCAACCTCTGTGGCAATATTTCCCAATGAGCCTCTATGGGGAAAGCAGGCAGAGGACAATAACCAAGGCCCTAGATAACACCCCTCCCCAGTGCTTCTGAGGTGGTGGGTGAAACAGCAAGCAGCTCATTGAAATTCATTTGCCTTCCATCTCTGCTCCC